TGAGACTTAGTCACTACCACAAGAATAGTATGGGGGAAACTGTGCCCATGATTCAAATTATCTCCCACCGGGTCCCGCCCACAATATGTGGGAATTATGGGAGTACAATTCAAGATGAGATTTGAGTAGGGACAATGAGCCAAACCATATCATTCCACCCCTGGCCCCTCCAAATCTCATGTCCTCCCATTTCAAAACCAGTTATGCCTTCCTGACAGTCCCCCAAAGTCTTAACTCATTTCAGCATTAATCCAAAAGTCCACAGTCCAAAGTCTTATCTGAAACAAGGCAAGTCCCTTCTACCTATGAGCCTGTAAAATCAAAAACAAGCTAGTACTTCCTATATACAATGAGGGTACAGGTATTGGGTAAATACAGCCATTCCAAATATAATACTTATAATACTTAATAAATACTTATATAATACTTAATAAACTCCCCTTTATATAGAGAGATTATATTTATATATATTTATATATGTTTATATTTTTTTATATATTTTTTTATATATATATTTTTTAAATAAGGCCGGGTGCGGTGGCTCACAGAGCGAGACTGCATCTCAAAAAAAAAAAAAAAAAAAAAAAAGTAGCCAGGCACGGTCGCGCACAACTATGGTTCCAGCTAAGGTAGGAGGATTGCTTGAGCCCAGGAGGTGGAGGCCACAGTAAGCCATGATTACACGATGGCACTCAAGCCTGGATGACAGAGTGAGATCTGTCTCAAAAATAAAATAAAATAAAACAAGCTGTTTATATGATGATATAGCAGACATTAAAAAACATGGACTGTGCCCTTTAAGTGCTTATTGGAGAGAAAGGGCACAAAACAATTACACGTTCCTTTTTGAGATGGAGTGTGGCTTTTGTTGCCCAGGCTGGGGTGCAATGGCATGGTCTCAGCTCACTACAACCTCCATCTCCCAGGTTCAAGCAATTCTCGTGCCTCAGTCTCCCAAGTAGAGATTACAGGCATCCGCCATCATGCACCACTAATTTTTGTTCTTTTAGTAGAGAAGGGGGTTTCACCACATTGGCCAGGTTGGTCTTGAACGCCTGACCTCAGGTGATCCACCCACCTCAGTCTCCCAAAATGTGATTACAGGTGTGAACCACTATGCCCGGCCAATAATGATGCTTTTCTAAGAAACTTTATCAATAACAGCTTGAACTAAACACCAAACTGCTAAGATGATACCAAATAAAAGTGAGAAATGTGTACACAGAATATATTTATTTGGTGAACAAAGGAGGAAGAAAGAACAGGAAAGATGTCAGATGAAAACATAAAAGCAAAAAACTGATCTAAGCTTAGGTGTTTCCTCCTTCAAAACCTTTAAAATTATAAAATGGGGAAATGTTTCTTTTATTGGGAATAGAAAAAAATGGCCAGGAGTAGTAGGTCACACCTGTAATCCCAACATTCTGAAAGGCTGAGACAGGAGTTCAAGACCAGAACAAGCAATATAGCAAGACTCTGTCTCTACATACAGACACAAAAAAAATTGTATTATTATAGCTGGGCATGGTGGCACATGCCTGTAGTCCCACCCATTCAGGAGGCTGAGGCAGGAGAATTGCTCAAGCCCAGTAGTTGGAGGCTATAGTGAGCTATGATCACACCACTGCACTCCAGCCTGGATGACAGAGGGAAATGCCGTCTCTAAAAAATAAAAAGAAAAAGGAAATAGAAAAGAAAGACTTAGGTTGGAGTATTTGAAGTTTTCTGTTTGTTTGTTTGTCTGTTTGTTTTTGAGACAGGGTCTCACTCTGTCACCCAGGCTGGAATGCAGTGGCACGATCTTGGCTCACTGAAACCTCCACCTCCCAAGTTCAAGAGATTCTTTCGCCTCAGCCTCCCAAGTAGCTGGAACCACAGGTGTCTGCCACCATGCCTGGCTCATTTTTGTATTTTTAGTGGAGACGGGATTTCACCATGTTGGCCAGGCTGGTCTCGAACTGCCAACCTCAGGTGATCCACCTGCCTCAGCCTCCCAAAGTACTGGGATTGCAGGCGTGAGTCACCATGCCCAGCCTTGGGTTGTTTTTTGAGGGACTTTGATTCCTTTTCCTTCTCTCCTTCTTCTTTACCCTATTTCTTCACTTTTATCTTCCTTTCTCCTGGGCTTCCCTTTATTCCACAGTGAGGGAGGGTGGCCAGGCCCACTGTAATCTCAGTCTCAACGCTAAAGCTAGGCTGGGGCTAAGGAAGGCCAGAATCATGGCTGAAGGTCTGGATATTCCTTATTAGCTGTGTGCCCCTAAATAAGTTGCTTAACATCTCTATGTCTCCATTTTCTCCTTTATAAACTATGAATAATAACATCAGCCCATAGGGGTAAAGATTAAATAAGCACAGACAAAGCATTGAGAACTTTGCCCGGCACTGTAGGTGTCCTTATCATCATTGTTATACACTGCATCTCAGCTTCTTTGTTTTTTTTGAAGCAGAGTCTTGCTCTGTTGCCCAGGCTGGAGTGCAGTGGCATGACCTAGGCTCACAGCAACCTCCACCTCCCGGGTTCAAGTGATTCTCCTGCCTCAGCCTCCCAAGTAGCTGGGATTACAGGTCCATGCCTGGCTACTTTTTTTTTTGTATTTTTAGTAGAAACGAAGTTTCACCATGTTGGCCAGGCTGGTCTTGAAGTCCTGACCTCAAGTGATCTGCCCTCCTCGGCTTCCCAAAGTGCTGGGATTACAGGCGTCAACCACTGTGGCCAGCCTCAGCTTCTAACAAAAGCCTTCAGGTGCAAAGAAGAAACTGGCTTGAGCCTGAGCACTGAGCACAGATAAGGAGTAAAAAGATACCATTAGTGTTAGTTCACAGGAAAACAAGAAATGGAGAAGAAAAAGACAATCATTTCATTTTAATTCTCTCCTTATCCCACTTACAGGTACACTAAACATGGGTATTTAGAGAATTATTTAAATATATTTATTAGCTTGTTTCTATATTTTAAAGAGAGTAATAGCTTTACCTGGTCTCTCCACTTTTATAACTTCTGCTCCAAGATCTCCTAAATTCATAGTAGCAAAAGGTCCCGCCAGGATTCTACAATGTTAAAAATGATAAATAAATTAATTACCATCTGGAAAATTTTTATATTAATTATTTTCTTAAAGACCCATCAACACAGACAAGCTCATATAATGCTAGTAAGAATCAAAACAGTTAAAACTGTAATTTGGCCATATGTAATAGGAGCTTTAAAAATATATACCCCCTTTCTTTTTCTTTTTCTATTTTTTTGAGACGGAGTCTCACTCTGTCACCCAGACTGGAGTATAGTGGCACCATCTCAGCTCACTGCAAGCTCCACCTCTCGGGTTCACGCCATTCTCCTGCCTCAGCCTCCTGAATAGCTGGGACTACAGGTGCCCGCCACCATGCCCGGCTAATTTTTTTGTATTTTTAGTAGAGACGGGGTTTCACTGTGTTAGCCAGGATGGTCTCGATCTCCTGATCTGGTGATCCGCCCGCCACGGCCTCCCAAAGTGCTGGGATTACAGGCGTCAGCCACTGCGCCCGGCCCCTATAATTCTTTATCTAGAATTTTATCCTGAGGAAGAAATCAAAACTGAGGGAAATATTTGTGTACAAGGAAGCCTAATTTATAATTGTGAAAGATTAGAGGATGATTAAGTAATTATGTGACATCGATATATTAATTACTCTCTTACTTTTTGTTGAATTTTGAATAACATAGGAAAATATCTAAAATATAACATTGTGTTTAAAATGTGGGTAAAACTGTAATTTCAATATAGTTCCAATTTTAGTTTTTTAAGATTATATATAAATACACATTGGGAAAAGGCATAAATACTACACTAATTGTCTCATAGAATGATGATATTACAGGAATTTTTCTTTTCTTATTTTCTTCTCTAAAATCTCAACATAAGCATATAAGAATCTTCTTTTAATTCAAAAAATTAAATGTTTTTGAGGAAAGGGAAAAACCCAATCCCCAAAAAAAAACCCAAATGTAGATAAACCAATACAAACCTTGTTAGATCCAGAATTTTTACCCCTTCCAATGGCTTTATATTGTTCATATCTAGCAAAACAGAGAAAACATTTCAAGATAATTGATTATTAATTTTCTTACATTTTCACATACACCATCATAAACTTGAGATAGATCACAAGGACTACAGTGATTCTTAGCAAGGGAGTCCACAGACCACATGGCTCTAGTAAAGAATACGGGAAGCTGAGCCAGGCGCGGTGACTCATGCCTGTACCCCAGCACTTTTGAAGGCCGAGGCAGGCAGATCACCTGAGATCAGGAATTCGAGACCAGCCTGGCCAACATGGTGAAATCCCATCTGTACTAAAAATACAAAAAATAGCCAGGCACCGTGGCGTGTGCATGTAATTCTAGCTACTCGCTGAGGCAGGAGGATCCTTTGAACCCAGGAGGCGGAGGCTGTAGTGGGCCAAGATGGAGCCACTGCACTCCAACCTGAGCAACAGAGCGAGACACCACTTCAAAAAAAAAAGAAAAAGAAAAAGAAAAAAAATTACTATCACAATCACAGCAATAGCAAATATTTGAAGTGCATGGATTGGTGCATTATTTTCTTGACAGCATACTTATATGGAAAACCAAATTATAATCAGAAGGTAAACTGATAGGCAAAGCATCAGAAAAAGGAAACTAGCTAAAACCATGTTTAATGTGGTAAATTGTTACAGCTATTTCCCCAAAAATCACACTTCCAACCTTATACATTCTCCTCCCACGTTGGCACTGGGCTTGGACATCTGCCTTGTTTTCACCAATAGGATATAGGAAAGTTGATGCCAGCGGAGGCAGGATAAGTGCTTATACATTGGGGCTTGATTTTTTGGACCACTTCAATCTTCATGCAAAGAAGCACAAGATGAAAGAACACATGGAGAGAAGTTCAGCTGAGACTGTCATTGCAGCAGTCCCAGCTGAGGCCCAGACATCTGGATGAAGCCATCTTGGAACACCCAGGCAGAGCCAAGCCACTAGCTATTTGCAGACACATGAATAAACCCAGGTGAATCCAGCAAAAGAACTGCCCAACTGGCTGGGCACGGTGGCTCACGCTTGTAATCCCAGCACTTTGGGAGGCTGAGGCAGGCAGATCACCTGAGGTCAGGAGTTCCAGACCAGCCTGGCCAACCCCGTCTCTACTAAAAATGCAAAATTAGCCGGGTATGGTGGCGCACGCCTATAATCCCAGCTACTCTGGAGTCTGAGGCTGGAGAATCACTTAAACCCAGGAGGTAGAGGTTGCAGTAATCTGAGATGGCACCACTCAAGCCTGGGCAACAAAAGCAAATTCTGTCTTTAAAAAAGAAAGAAATAAAGAATTGCCCAATCAACCCACAGAACTCTGAGAAAAAAATAAAGCCTTGTTTTAAGGCACTAAGTTTTGGAGTGGTTTGTTATATGGCAATAGATTAATACAATGGCTTACAGCAGAGATAACCTGTTATAGTAGTGAGAATGATCCTTGTATATGTAAAACATCCTTCCCTGCTCAAAATCCTCTATGGTTTCCTACTAAACTTAGAATGAAATCCAACTTCTTTCCACAGCTCACAAAATCCTGCTTGTTCTGGCCTTTGACACTTAAAAATATGATAGAAGGAAAAATATTATAGAAAGGCAGAAAGATCGAGATAAGAAAATCACCTACAGAGCAGAACAAAAAAATAAAAGTGGAAAATGGAGAAAAGGTAACAAAAATAAAACATCAGTCCAGGAAACCCAATAATATGAGCTTCTTAAAGAGTGAACAGCAAAAACAGAAAAGAGAGTATTACCAAAGAAATAATTCAGAAAAAATTGTCTAGAACTGAAAGGCATAAATTTCCAGATTGGAAGGTCCCTCTACTGGCCCAGCATAATGGATTTTAAAAAGACACACAGCAAGCACACCAAGACATCACTGTGAAAATCTGGAGTACTGACTTCTCTGACAAAAGATCTTAAACATTTCTAGGGAGAAAAAAGCAGGTCAGATATAAAGGATTGGTTATCAGGAGGACATTGAATTTCTCAACAATGCTGCAAGACAAAACAAAAAACTGGAGCAAAAAAAAAAAAACCCTTAAAATTCTGAGGGGAGAAATTCTTTCTCCCTAAAATTCTAAACCCAATTAAAACACAAGTCAAGTGTGAGGGTAGAAAAAAAATATTTTTAGTCCCGCAGGTTTTCAAAAACTACCTGTCATGCATCCTTTCTTGGAAAAATTACTTTCAAAAGTAATCTAGAAATTTAGAAAATTACTTTATAAGAAAATCATTCCTCCCCACCTGAATATAAGGAAGACTCTAGATCCAACTTACAAGTGACAGGAGCTATAGGAGACAGAGGACCATGTCAAGGACACAATACGGAAGCAGGTAGAAAAATCCAGAATGCCCAAAACACTGCAGGAAATGGAAATATTTATTTCTTTAACAAATAAAAAGGCAAGAAAAATGCAAGATGTAGAAGGATACCCCAATTAAATGAGACTTAATTGTCAACCAACCACAGTATATGCGCCTTACTTAGAGCCCGATTCAAACAAACTATTAAAAATCAGATAACGGTAGGCAAGGTGGCTCATGCCTGTAATCCCAGCACTTTGGGAGGCCAAGGTGGGCGGATCACTTAAGGTCAGGAATTCCAGACCAGCCTGGTCAACTTGGTGAAACCCCACCTCTACAAAAATACAAAAATTTAGCTAGGTGTGGCGACGAGCGCCAGTAGTCCCAGCTACTCAGGAGGTTGAGACAGGATAATCTCTTGAACCCAGGAGGCAGAGGTTGCAGTGAGCCGAGATTACAGCACTGCACTCCGGCCTGGGCAACACAGGAAGACTCCATCTCAAAAATTAAATTAAATTAAATTAAATTAAATTAAATTAAATTAAAAATAAAATAAAATAAAATACAAAAAGAATAAAAATAAAGTGGAGGGGTGAAGTGAAAGCTCAGGATGACAACAAGGAAGATACCAACACAATAGCTGAGAGGTTTGCACTTGCATCGCAGTATGGGATAAATGGAGGCTAGATATTGAGAAGGCAAATAAAGAAACCGGACAAATATTAACAAAGAGAAATAAAAAGGTATACATGAGCAGCAGTATAATCAGAGTATGAATAATAATTGTACTGTTTAAAACAATTTTTTAAACAAACATAATTTAGCAGTTTAATTTAGCAAGGAAAAAATGATTTGTGAAATCGGACAACCCCTTCCCACCCTCCCCCAAGTCACAGCAGATTTAGAGGGTCTCCGGCGCTGCTGTATAGTGGGCATAGTGGGAGAGAATTTATGCATACAAAAAGGAAAGTGATGTGCAGGAAGCAGAAGCAAGGTATAGAAACAGCTAGTGCCTTAGAACACGATCTGAACAGCTGGTGGCTGTAAGTCTTTGAGGTCCAGCTCCTGGGACTGGCTGAGAGTCAGCAACTGTTATTGAAGCATACCCCTAAGTTAGGTTTTCAGTTTGCTTACCTACTAAATTAGGTTGTGGGTTGTAGGTAAAAACTCAAGTATGTGAGTATGGAGGCTTTCTTAGGCCAGATTTTAGTTTGATGAAACAGTATAATAACAATCTAAATACTGAATAGTGATCTAACAAAATTTATAATTTGGAAGGATGGAAAGTGCATGAATATTTGTTCAAATGGTAGTGAAAGAAAGCTAGCCTCTTTTTTTTTTTTTTGGAGACATGAGCCATCTGCCTCCAGCGTTTGCGATCTGGCCGCCTGGTCAACCTCCGCCTCCATTGACCAGGTCAAGTGATTCTCTTCGCTCAGCCTCCCAAGTAGTCTGGGATTTACAGCACCTGCCACCTAGCCAGCTACAATTTTTTGTAATTTAGGTAGAGACACGGGTTCACCACGTGTTCGTCAGGCTGGTCTCCGAACTTCTGACTCAGGTGAATCCACTTTGCCTTGACCTCCCAAAGCAGGGGAACAGGTTGAGGCCACCCTGTGCCTGGCCAAAGCTAGTCTTTATCAACTAGATCGAATATCTAACAACCCAAACAAAGAATCATCACAGTTGTATAATCAATTTATTTATGGCATTTGCAGCGAAAAAAACAGTCAAAAAGAATTAAATTTGTTGGCCCTGCGGCAAAGGGAAGCTCCAGACGAAGCATAAGGGTGAACCCTTTTACACACAATTAATCACCCGTTGAACATTCTGAATTTAAAACCAAGTATACCTAAAACTTGATTTAAAAATAAAAAATAAATTATATAAGTTATAGTGTTACATTCGGAACAACAGGTTGACGCTCACTTCGCGTTATCTCTGCTATACAGCCCCTGCAACTGCTTGATAAATTATTCTTTCTTTCTTTTTTTTTGTTCTTTTTTTTGAGACGGAGCGAGCCGAGCTGTCGCCCAGGCTGGCATTGTGCAGTGGCGTCGACCTCAGCTCACTGCAAGCTCCGCCCTTCCGGGTCTCACCATTCTCGGTCCGCCTCAGCCTCCGAGTACTGGGACTACACGTGTCCCGCCACCCTGCCCGCATTAGTTTTTCTGTATTTTAGTCAGAGATTGGTTCACCAGATGGTATGCGCAGAGGCTCGATGCTCGTGATCTCGTCATCGTGCACTTGTTCCGCCTTCGGCCTCTCAAAGTGCTGGATACCAGGCTGAGCCACCTACATCGCCCAGTCCTAGAAGTATTCTACTGTCGAAGCTTGACTGACTCATTGTACCATAGCAGTTCATCATCACCAGAGGAAATACATATAAATTACCAGATTCTGCCCGATTCTCTGAATTGACACTCACGTAATTTTTTTTTTTTTTTTTTTTTTTTTTTTTTTTTTTTTTTTGAGATGGAGTCTTCTTCTGTCCCAGTGCTGGAGTGCAAATATGATCCAGCTCAACTGCACGCTCACCTCCAGGTCAAGTGATTTCCTGCCTCAGCTCCCAAGTAGCTGTGATTACGGCATGGCCACCATGTCCCCAGTATTTTTTATTTTGTAGAGAACGAGGTTTACCATGTTGGTCAGGCTGATCGAAACCCTCAACTCGGAGTGTCCATCTGCCTCAGCCTTCCCAC